AACGACTTTCCAGTTTTCACTGATGAACAGACTATCAGGAAAATACTAACCAATTGTTGCAAATTAGATGTTTCGTTCTGTGTAATCCTATTTACCCGCCATATCCGATGCGGTTCGTCAGATAAATAACCTTGCTCGTCCCAGGACTGCCTTGGGGAATTTTAACAGCTCAACCTCGTCTTCGGCGAGCTGGAGTTTGATGTGATGTCCTCGTACACGTTCCTTCGTTTAACATACAACTTCCTCCTTCGAATGATAAGAATAATTCTTTTCGAAACAAACTGTATTTGGTATAATTTTCTCGCTAACGTCACCGCATCCCAGTGTGTTATGTAAGTTCCTTGGTGGTTGCATTCCAAAACAATGATTATATTGTCTGCGCACACCCACCGCATGTTTGCCAAGGGACAAAAAAAACAGGAATTGCATTAAATCCTCTCAAATGCGGGCACTACTTCTCATTGTACTGTCAACCTAAATTTAGCGCTGTAAGGTGACTTTGGGCGGTAACCATAGGCCTTTTAATTTTATTCAAAATATCGAGGACATTCTCCCATCAAATACGTATGCTTGATGGTTCCACGCATCCTATGTGCTTTATTATTCCGAAAAAAATTGCCATAAGGACACCACGAAACGGTAAATACATCTCAAAAAGGGGTGCGTTGTAATCGTATTTTAACACTCCTTCGGGGCTTACTTCTTGTATTTGATGGGAATAAACTTCGTTAGGCATACCAAGGAAGGCTTCAGAATACCTTTCTGGATCACTTTTGACAATACTGGCAATTAGCTCCCGCATTTGGGCTACCGCCGCCTTGTTAGTCACCACTTGCGCTCCGATAGGTTGGTGGCCGTCTGCATTATCAACACAAAACAAAACGCTCGTGAACAGACACGAATTGTCAGACGGTGCTGACAGTCGAAGTAAATGTGGTCTCTGGGTGCGCAAGGATTCATCCACTACTTTGGGTGCAGGTTGTTCAATTCGCTGAATCGGTATGACACGACCGGATGGTGTCGGATGGTGAGACGAAAGCACTGAGGATTTGTTAACATCCACGGTCAAAGTGTCTCCTGAGATTAGCGGTATCTGCTCAAATAGGGGAGAAAGTGTGGATTGGAAAGAGAAACCCAATACACGTTAGTGATGCGCTACATTCTCAACAATTATTCACTGACGGAATGGTAAAAATGTCAAGAAACCGATGTCGATGATAGTGTTTCTTTAGGTATTTCGGAATACAAATCATGGAATTTTGCGAGTCGTTTGCACATAATCAGACTTGTAGGAATATATCCAGTCACCTTTATTGATTGATATAGTGCATGACGTATGAATTGAAAAAAGTGAGAAACTGCGGGATTAACTGTAAATATACTGCTAAGCATGGTGCCAACTCCACAAGGATAATAAAAATAACAAGAACACGGGGTAGGTGAATTGGGATACAGTACAGAGTGAAAAGAAGACGATCGGCAGGCATACGCAGCATGTGACCAAGCCGTCGGTGGTGTAGAACAATTACTTTTTTAGACAGCGACTACCCACACCCAATACAGGACGACGAACCTCATCCATGTTCACCCAATGCTCCCACCAGACACGAGCAATACTTCGGGGAGATCGGTGGTCGTATACAGAAAGTCGATTAGCATCCTCAACGAGGAGGGGCCAGGTCTCGCAACCGTAGAGTAGAACACTACGAACCGTGGTGATATACACCCTTTCCTTAAGGAACAGTCATGGCGGCTCCACAGATGTCGCACGTTGGCGAAATTTGCTCTAGCTTTCTCTGCTCGTGGTGTGATCTCCTCCCAAAACCAACACCAGCTGCGATTAAGCTCCCGAGGTATTCAAAGCTCTCAACTACTTCTAGCTGATCATCACAGAGGATGAGTGCAGGCACAAGCTCCTGCCAGTCTTGAGCAAGCACTTTGCATTTTGACGGCGCAAAGCACATACCATACCTGAATACCTTGATCGCCAAGCGGTTCAAAGCGTGTTGTCACCCAGCAAGGCGATATCATCGGCATAAGTCAAGGACTCTGTTCCCTAGGAGGAGTTCGACATTACCGTTTGCTAAACGGGACAAAGCATTCTGTATAACATCCTCTATGATAAAGTTGAAAAGGAATGGGGATATAGGGCAGCCTTGTCAAACTCCGCTGGAGACGACGAAGGTTGGCGAAAGTGGGCCATAGGCCCTAACCCGACCTGAGGTATGACGATACAACTCTCTGAGGATTAGCACATATTTCTCTGGTACTCTATTCCTCAACAAACAGTTCCACAGTGCGATCCTATCGACAGAGTCGAGGGCGAATGTCCAAGAAAACAATGATCGTTGGTCTTTGACAGGCATGACGATGCCCTAGCAGCTGTCAAAGGGTGAAGATTTGATCAATGCATCCACAACCGGCGCAAAACCCAGCCTGCTCCTCACGCATAGTGTACAATCCACGGAGTATGACGGACGCCGACAGCTCGGACGTTATTGGGATAAGGCTTATGCCCCTATGATTGGCGCGGACCCTTTTTGAAGAGGACAAAAATCGATTCCCCCCACGAGGAGGGGACCTGCTCGATGTTCCAAACTTTAGAGAAATGAATTTGTAGTTCCCTAACAAGCTTTATTCCACCATCTTTAAATAGAGCATGGGGGATGAGCATCGGCGCCCGGCGCTTTGTGAAGTCGCAAGGCTTGGATCTCCTTACGAATTTTCGCCTCAGAAGATGGGTCTGTTAAGACAGACCATGGGACGTGTGCCGGAATAGATGTGGGGGGAGCTGACACCGGTGGCCAGTCAAACTGTTTCAAAGTGATCCGTCCAGCGTGCAAGACGTCATCGTTGATTATGAATGGGCGAGCCGTCAGCTTCGCAGATCATCCAAGGCTTTCCTACCGATGACCCGGATGAGATGGAACAGCTTACGGGAGTTTCCTATAGCAGCAGCACGTTCCATCTTTGACGTGCGTTCAGTCCACCAGATTTCGCGATCTCTGCGTAGGCTTGCGTTGAGGTTACGAATCGTTGCGTGTCGCATTTCATTATGCTCGCTGCAGGTCGGGATCGATCCGCAAAGACTCAACAGAAACCCACGGTGTCGCGGAACGACGTGTCAGACCACAACTAGGCCAGCAGAATGCAGAGCACTCTTGATAAAAAGTGCTCGTTAATGTCCTCGGGTGGAGTTGGTTCTAGCTTTTCAGCCAGCGCGTTCTGAAGGACAGGTAGGCGTACTGGTTCAGACAACTTATCAGTGTAATCGCCGTTATGTCTTGCGTTTAGTACGGCCACCGAAGCACATAGAAAGCTTGGCGCAAACTAACGCATGGTCAAATTCGAGGGAAGTGCTTCAGTACGATTGGCAGTCTTGTACACAACCCCGCCATTTGTGGCTTATGGCGATGTGGTCGTTCTGCGTCCATCTCTGACTCTAGGAGGGCGGACGCCAAGAGGCGTACCGGTAGTTGGAGCGTTTGAGGTTTGTACTGGCGAGGAACAGGTAGAGGTCAGAACACAGAGCCAACAGCTGTTCCCCGTTTTACGAGCGACAGGAATCTAGTCCGAAAGGACCTCCCAGGTGCACCTCACTCGAAGTCAGCCAACCTACTCTAGCATTCATATCTCCTACTAAAATCACGATGTCAGCCCGACTCGCTTCAAACGATTGCGAAAAGGTGTTCAGGGACACCATAATATGCACTGTGCGGGCTGGCGCGTTGCGCTTAGGCGGCATTCCATTGATAATTTGAATGTTCCGTCTATTATCTTAATTACCATTCGTTCGCTCATGGGGAAACTCGATGATGTCAAGAGCATGGCACACCAGAAGGAATGTAAGATTGTAGGGATAATTCTACTCCAGGAAAGCTGGTTACGTTCAAACATTGAGGACAACGTCGTGCATCCTGATGGATTCGATGTCTTCCGAGGCGATCGAAATGTGAACTTCCTTGACAGAGGCGATGGAGTAGTTAATTTTGTCAACAGAAAATGGTGTAAAAACGTTCATCAATTTTTTTCACTTCGATAGTCCTAAGATAAATTGTCTTTGTTTATCGTAAGCCCCAATTTCTCCGTCGCTTTAATCATAGCACGTTAGCTAACATTTACATTACTCCCGACATGCCTGACTCTGATATTCGTTGGTTTGTTGACTCTTTCTCCTCACAACTTGCAACAGGCTTAGACCAGTTTCTATGCGGTTGGCGATTTTCAGCGTTTTAGTGTCTCTTTCCTAACAACTTTAGGCCTGACAAATCTTGTATTTTTTCTTTCCGACTAGGTGTTCAACTTGATAGGATCTTTGTAAACAACCCAGAAATATTTTGCATTGAAAGGCGGACTTTCATAGGCAGTTCAGACCACTGCTCTATTTCTTTTACACCCCAAATTTGGGGAAAATATTATCATCACCAAATGAACCGTTCTACATTTAGAACCATCAGAAGGAGTTTCACTCCAGACAACTTATCCAAACGGGCTTTTTCCACCGATTTCACTGTCTTTTCGAATGCCGAGAACTCCTACTGTTTGGAGTATCTTATATGTTACCTTAAACGTTGCTATGATGAGTTGTCTGGTTGAAACTTCATACCTTCGGATCCTCTACGGATCTTTTACAACGGCGCCGTCCTGATAAGGAAAAGGCCTACAGGACTTCAAGGCACAGTACTGTTAAACATCCGTCATTATCAATCACAATAAAAATATTGCGCCTAAATCGGATGTGTATTTAAACTCTTATGGGAAACAACTGCCGTGATGTGGTCTGCCTTGAAGCAGCTCTGTGGATCTGAGGATGTTGAGAAGTTAAATGGTCAATTCGCAAATGCTTCTATACTAAACTCAATACCACCATTTGCATCTACTGGGGAGAACCACTCTGTCACCCTGGTGAAGTTTTGAATGTGCTGAACTCCCTTAAATCCCACAAGGCACATGACCCTAATTCATCATATCCCGTCCGGTTGAAAGTGTGTACTGAACAACTTGCTTCACCTAGTTCCGAGTTGTTTACTTCGTGTCTGTCATCTGCAAGTATTCCTGATTTCTGGAGAGCTGCCCAGATAAAACCCAAAAAAGGACCTTCCAAATACCAACCGATTTTTTGCACACCAGTACTATTGAAATGTTTTGAAAGAGTGCTTCTTAACCGGATGATCCTTTTATCTGTTGCTCATGATCCTATTCAGTTTGCTTACAAACCTTCACCTCTCACTCCTGATACTGTTGCCCACGTTATTCACTCCATTTCATCCTCAGTGGGTAAAGGGTCTGGCATCGTCTATTTAATTTTTCGCGATTATGCCAAATTTTTTGGATCACTTGACTTAGGTATTACTATTCAGTGTCTTTCGGATTGCGACCTGGCACCTGTGTTGAACGTTTCTCATATAGGATGCAATTCACTTTTTGTAACGGTAAACCTTCCTTCGTGCAAGAAGTTAACTGTGTGGTTGTTCAGGATACCATTTTGTCACCACATCGTTTTCACTGTAAATTAACAACCTTCCCATCCTCCTCGACTTCATCGCGTGCAAGTATGCTGATGACGTGGTGGATGGTCGTCCCTCGACTGATTCTGAAGGTTTTCGTCAACTTCAAGATTGTCTAAATCAAATTTTTAGTTGGTCTACGCCCCGACCTTTGATGTTAAATGTTGATAAATGTTTGGATGCCTCTTTTAACCTCAACACGCACTCACTGTCAAACAATTTTTATTATCAGCCTGAAATTGCTGTTAACGGTCATATCATCCCCAAAGCTGACTTTGTAAAACATATTTGAAAACTACTTTGTCACGTAACGTTTCTAGATCTAAACATGTTGAAAACATTTACATCAAGGTTCGTAAATTATCCTTCTACACTTTTAGACTTGAAAAGCTTGGCGTTCCGCTAAATGCAATTCTTAAATTTGTGACAGCCCGCATTCTTCCACATTGGTTGTACTTTATTCTCTTTTCCAGATCTCATAAACTTCTGGCATTTTCAAGACCATTTTAGTTGGTTTCATTGTGTGCAAGCATTTCGATTCATGTGATAGATTTACCAGCCATACACTGCCAAATGAAGAAGACTTCCTGCATGCCCATCTCGATAAATCTGTTTCTCATACCAGTATACGTTCCACATTGAGAATTCCTCGTGCAATTAACACCACATAGCGAAACAGCATCACCCCTTAATTTGCTCGTAATTTAATAAACTGAGCAACTACCGTTACTGAGGTGGATAATTACCTGTCACATTAGCTTGTCACATCCATTTGTTTTCCATCTAATAAATATTTGGATTTTTTTAGTGCTTAACGTTTTCTTCATTACAACTTGTCGAAAGTGCTGAAAATCTACCCTACGGGGTGTATTAAGTTTAAACTGATTTAAAATGACTTGATAACAATCAGCCTTTGTATTCTCGTGACCAGGGAAATTCATCTAATCGGAAGTTCGTCGCCTTTTTAAGGACGGAATCATTGAAACTTTAACTTCACCCTGGCGAGCACAAGTCCTTGTACCATTAGTGAATGGCACAAGGGACGCATGGCGGTCGACCCCAGTCAAACTATTAATCGCCACACGCTGTTAGACGCATACCCACTGCCGCGAATAGACGAAATGGTGTCTAAAATATCATGATACGCTGTCTTCAGTGCCTCGGATTAAGGAATTGCATACCACGAAATCGCTATAGAAGAAACAAATCGACCGTTCACCGCCTTCGAAGCCTACAGCAAGCTGTACCGGTTCTATCGAATACCTTTTGGAGTTACTAACGATTTCGCTTGCTTCCAGAGGGCAATTGATAAACTCATTCAGGAGGAAAACCTGCCGGGCACTTTCGCCTACATTGACAACATTGTGTGCGAACTGAACAAGGAGGATCAAGACAAAACTAACTACTTTTTGAACGCTGTTAGAAAATATGGGCTTACCTTAAACGAAGAAAAGTGTATCATTGGTACCAAAGAAGTAAAACTCCTGGATATCGAAGTTTCACACGGCTTGATGGGATCGGACCCTAAATGAGTGAAACCACCCTGAGAACTTCCAACTCCCATAGACCTCAGAAAGCAATGACGGGCAATCGGTTTATTCTCACTTCCTGATATGACACATCCCTTGGTACATAATCATAGAGGACGTCTGAATATCTTTTGAAAAGCTCAAAAGTGAACTGGAACAAGCAGTCATCACCACTATCGACCCGAAGACACGACTGATCGTGGAAACAGACGCCTCGGACAGCTATTTCGGCTACCTTCTCGCAGAACTGTAGACCGGTTGCATTATTCTCCAGAACGTTATCTCCAAGCGAAAGACATCATTCCTCTGTAGAG